GAAACGACATGGAACTTCCCAAGAACACGTAAAAAAACTATGTATTCAATACCTATATGAGTCTTGATTTTTTCAAGGAATGCAATGGTACTTTTCTATGGTATGTTTTGTTTTGATGAACTCCTAGAAAGTAATTGGGATAAAAATGTGGAATTTCTTCTGTAAATACCGGGCGTGAATCTTTCTCTTGATAGTAAAGTGAGGTGATTTTAACTTTTTTTTTTCCAGTCTGCTTATTTTAATTTTCCGTTGTAAGAGAACTCTCTGACAATTATTACCCGTTACTGAAACATTTTTACATTGATGGAAGCAGGTTTGTACATTATTTCTCATCGTTTTGGATAATGAATAAATCCTATATTCAGTCATTTAAGTAAACTCGTGCTTCATTAAAGATTACAATGTATTTTCATTTGCCTGCTGCTAACTAGTTTTCATACGAGGTTCTAGAAACTGTGCCTGCGTTATGCCTTGGCAAATAATAGTGAGCATTATGTTTTTTAGCATTTTTAAGCCACAAATCTCGATTTATTATTACTTCCTTGTACGAAATAAAATGGAAGTATTGTAATAGCGAAAAATTTCCGGATCATATTTAAACGAAAATATCCATTTTAACTACTATCTAATGCAATTTAACTATGTTTTTGCGTGACATTTGTACGGAAGGACAGAATAAAGGACTCTTCCCCCCCAAAAAAAATTATAAGACTGATTTAAAATGAATTCTGAAAAGATTTTTTTCGGGGCCACTCTACGTACGTATTTACTATCTCGTATAACTCAAAAACGAGTAGTCTCAGAAAGTTGAAATTTTGTAAATAGAACTGCTATAACATGTAGATGTGCACTTCCCATTTTGGTTGAAATCGGCCGAACCAAAAGAATATATATATCAGTACTGGGCTCAGTAAGCTCAGTTTCTTTATTCTTATATTTTTGTAAATTGTGCATTTTTTGCTTTATATATGATTGGATTATGTTGTTCTGGTTAAGATTTTAATGCCTTTAGTCAACCTGCACGAATAATTGTGGAGTTATCAAAAATTTGAAAGTTTTAAAGTGCGGCTAATCCATATTTTTATTACGATGACAGCCATGTTTGTTTACATTTGAAACTTAGCAGAATAGTGGATTTGCTGCCAATCTAGAGAAACTAAGCTTCGCAACAACAAAGTAACGTCTTCTTTTATTATTGCGAATTAAATTATGCTTATTTTCATTCTGGAATTATCATTTAAGTTGTTTTTGCGTAGAAGCTATAATTTTAATTGAAAAAATTGTTTTTTAACTGTTTTAACTGTACTTGGTCTTTTATGTTTTTCTATATCTTTCAATTTGTAATGAATATATTTTGAATTTTTATGTATTTATGCCTTGCTGCGAAGTGAGAACTGAATTAGTTAGTAGTGCATGCGCTTAGATATTAGCATTAATTAGAAGTGCATGCAGTTAGTAGTGCATTAGTAGTGTAAGCGGCGCTGAATCGCCTGTGAAAAACTGTTTTTTTATTTATTTAATTGCTTTTAAACGTCATTTTATTATTTATTATATTATTTGAATAGAACATGTGGTAATTCTTAAGATGATATAATTTTATGCACTCTGAGATATAAAATGAATGAGATATAACGCTGTTAGGTAATCTTAGCGCCGAATTGTCGCTGTGGTAAATAAATATAATGAACTTTAAAAAGTGCATTTATTCTATTGTGGTTTGTCGGCCAGGTAATTTTAATTCAACATTCGTTAACTATTAATTCATTATGTTTAAATGAAATGCAGGAATTTTCCGTATAATTTAATATTCCGTACAAGGAATTCACGCGGTGTACATATCAGATTTTTTTATTAATTATTGCTATAAATGTGTTTAAAGACTCATCAGTTGATTTCTGGGTCGGCAGATTTTTCTCTTGTTACCAAAAATTTATTTTAGAAAACTTAAAACAGTAGATATCTTTTTAGAGTATTCGCTTGGAGTTTTTATTCCATGCAGAACTAAATACTTACGGATTTCCCCTTTCTGACTTATTATTTTGCCTATTTTGTACTTATAAATGTAAGTATTTTGGAATTTTTATATTTTTGAATGAAAGTTATTATTTTGACATATAGAATTTATTATTATTATTGCTGAATTAATTAGGAATATTTATCTTCGAAAGTGCAAAAACATATCTTTCAATCCACAGCTTGTTTGCATCCAGAAATTTGAAAGAAGAACGAATTTCAAAATAGTAGATGATATTTATCATTTAAAATAATAATTTGTTTACAGAAAATTTTATTCCCAAACCTTTTCTTTTCAAAAGTTTTCTTTTTCTTTTTCTTTTTTTTTTTTTTTTATTGAAATCTTTGTAAAAGTATGCAAACACCCTCTACCCTCTGTATTAATCGCGTGTCCCTAAAAATAAAATTATTTCGTAATTCTTACAAATAGATTTCTTAATTTTGAATTGCCAATACATGAATATTCGCGACGTTTAAAATATGTTTGCAATTCAATAAACAAGTCTACGACCAAGGTTTTGGAAATGCAGGCCTTATAATATCTTTTATAGACATACACCTCATCAAACAAAGTCAGTTATGGTAAGAAAAAGAAGATACTTCTTTCCTGGAGAGACTGATGAAGCTATGTAAGTGCGTACTCCTGACAGCGAAACTTCAAGTTTCTTATATTTTGACAAAGACGGTGATGAATGGAACTTATAATTTTGCAATTCTAAGAAAGCAAAACTTTCTAGTTTTGCTTTCTTAGTATTACAAAATTATAATAAAGTAAATTTGTAACAAAGTAGAGAAAAAGATGACTTGTAACATCTCCAGAAAATCGAAATTATCAGGACAATATGCCAAGGGCTATTTTGAAGAAACTAAAGCTTTCTGAAAGTAATTGGTTGCAGTTTCGCTGACGGAATAATGGCATATGTTAAAAACGCGTCGCCTGCACATATTCGATATCATGTACAAGCCATTTTTATGAAATGTTTTATAAATATGAAATGTTTCATTTTCTTTCATATGGAATAATCGCAGATTTTTATGTTTCATATGAGAGAAATAAAAACTGGCAATATGTCAAATATATAAATAAATAATGAAATTAAATAAAAAATGCATTAAGAACGAATAAAAATAATATGCCAAAATATTCGATAATGAAGAGCTCTACATGTGTTGCAGAAAGCACTGCACGCGAATTCGGTGGAATAAAACTAAGCCCCACTCATAGAATATAAATATTAATCAATGAATGCAATTCTTTGAGCAATATTATTACCACATTAAAGATTCCATGTTATTTACCACAAACAGTCTAACGAAAACATTTAAGAGGGTAGCAGTGTTTACTCTTCTGTTTTCGTTTTGAAAATATTCAATAAGTTAATCAATAAATGTTTACTTTGTGCTCTCGAAATCATGTAAACTGAATTATTTTCAGTGGCTAGATATTGGATTAGGAATCTTAAAAAATAATAACAATATTTTGACCTTCTCTATAATTCGTTTTATGAAATAATTAGTGAATAATTAGTGAATGTTAGCAATAATTAATAATTAATTAATTTTAGCAATTAGAATGCATTCACGAAATGTAATTAAATGTTCTTTCACATACTCAAATATAGTTTTCAAGACGAGGAAGGAAAATAATTAATCTAAGTATGTATAAAATGTATAAAAAGTAACAAGAACAAAATAAGGATATGGAGTTACATTATGTTTACAATATAAACACGATTTAAATTTAATTAAAGCCTGTTATTAATAGGAGGCATGATTTGTACGAATTTTGGAAACATTATCAGAATAAAAGCTTCACTTTGAAACAAATTATGAAATGCATTTTAACTTGCACCATTTGTTTCTGTTAATAGCTACCGTAGCTACATTTCTACTATTTCATCTACTCCAGCAGAAAATATAAATGTGAAGCCATGTATGTAGGATTAAAAATATAATTATGAAGCTTCGTTTACACAAGCGGAACTTTGAACCCAAAGAACGCGGTAGAATATGACTGCTTTGCTACGGGAAGAAAAGGCATCATTGAGAGAAACTTGTAAGTATCTATGTATTTAATAAAAAAATATATGTATCAAGTATCTATGTATTTAATTGCAAAGAAGGAATAAACAGCCTAAAAGGTAACGTAATTCAAAATTTTCAAAAATGCAATTTTCAGCTGCAAATAGTTTATTTCCGCTAAAAATCTGTTGAGCGGAGTCGTCAAGCATGCGCTCCTTTTCTTGGCCCCGAAGTTCTAGGGCCCAAAGTTCTTGGCCCCGAAGTTCAGTGGGTCTTTAGAAAGTCAGGACTGGAAACTGATCCATTCTATAAAGCTCTTCTGTTTAGGCTCGACATGCGAAATATTTTTATTAGTTTGTAAATAAGGAAAAAGAAAAATATTGCTTTGAGTTAGGAAAACGAGGATTCGAGGATTGTGATAAATATGCAGAGGAAGAAATGCCAGTAATTTGCTTTAAGTATATTGCTTTGAGTATATTTTATATAAAACTCGTTTCTTTGATGACTCTTTTTACATTAACAGTAAAGAAATCATGAAACTACTGTGTTCGGCCAATTGTTTTGGCAGGGAATCATATCCGAAAGGAAATTCATCCATAGATGTTCTAAGGGCCATTCACAGCGGAATTTATCTGCGCTAGCGCAGTCGGTCTATGTGTCGAGTAGCTCCGTTATGCCTGAGGTTCAGCTTTTTCAGATCGCTATACGCTATGAAGAAGAACTAGTTTTAGAGAAGCGTCGGTTGTGTGAGATGTCTACGTTAGCTCAGACAAACCACACTGTGAACGGCCCTAAGGGTCATTCACATTGGGGTCAATTCCGCTATGCCTCCAGTTCTAATTTTTCAGCTTGCTGCCCTATGGGGAAAACTGGTTTTGGAGATGGTTCGGCTACGTCAGTTGTCTCCGTTAGCTCAGCTAACCCCCATTATGGATTGCCCTTTAGTCGTGTGATGGGACCGTGCAGGAAAGTTCAATTCCTATTTTAGGAGAGAAACGCATGTTTCTAAGACTTCCCCTCCCGTGCAATAGACGTCCCTTACCGACCTGACATTCTAGGTTTGTTATTTGCGGTATACCTTCTTTTTATTTAACAATTATTGGTTGCTTGAGTGTCAGTGTAGCATTTTACAAACGAGAGATTGCAAGACTATCTTATTAAAACATGAAATAAGTATCAAATATCAAAACTCATCTTTGTGAAAATTATTACTTTTTTTTCTGCAAAGGGCTTGAGTTTTTTCGTCCAATCGCAGAAGCATCGCAGGGTTCAACTTGACGTTGGTAGACAGTGGTAGGGTAGAGAGTGTGCAGCCGCTTCAATACGAGACGCAATAATATCTAACTTGAGAAACTTTGATACCTAATTTGAGACACAAATTTGTATTTCAAAGTAATTCAAATTTAGTGATCGATATAAATTTAGAATCCAAATAGATAATAAGGTCTACTCAAATTTGTGTTCAAACCTTTAAAACCCTAGTCTGGATGGTCTGCAAATTATGCTTTTTTATTAAACTAACGGATTTTTATTTAACAAACTCAGGGATTTGAAAGAGACAAGTAACATTACTATTTGAAATAAAAAGTTTTTACCTTCGGTGTCTCAGACTTGCCATTCGACAAAACGTAAGATGTTTATTTATCTTCGCATTTTAATTCAGAAACTCGGCTATCTGAAAGTAATGTGTTGTTAGAGCCTCAAATACAATAATTATCTTCTAGTACAGCGTATTGCCAATCACCTGCGATGCTATATTTAATCTTTCTGTAACAAAGTAGCAAATATTTTATTATTTTTTTAAAGAATTTAATAGTTATCATTATATTTGAATTACAAAACGTAATCAACAAAAATTTGGTACTTTTCTTCTGTAATATTCTTTGCGAGTGAATTTGGAGCGCTTCTGCACTGTCAAGAAATAAAATGGTTGTGCATGTGTATAAAAGAAACAGCTACAAATCTCTGCATCTGCAAGATACAAAGGGCTAATAATCTAACTGTTTTTTCGCAAGCAGGTTAGAATGCATCATAATACTAATCTAGTCTCTTTGGTTTTACGTAACTGCATCGTGCCAATATAGAGCTTACTCATCATTATGTTTAATATTTTCAATCTTTCATCAAGGCGAAAAAAGTATAGCTGATGTTTTATGCCCTTTAAAGCAGCTATTTTTGAACTGTGGCCATCAGAACAGGTATCTAAATAATTAATTCTACAATAAGTTTAGGTATATTTCCTTCCCATCTAAGCAAATTGCTAAGAAAATTTTATTAAATAAAATAATAAGTTGAATTTTCCGGCATGTTTATATATGTTGACATAAATTTCTTATGTAATTGTATTAAATACGATAATTAATAGATATATTAATAAATTCCGTTGATCATGTTATTTTAAATAAATTTCGAATAAAATTGTATTATATTTTATAATGAATTCAAATTTATACATTAATGTCCTTCTACATATCTACATATATATATTAAATAACTTCTGTGTCTAGATATTGAGTGAACTTTTAACGTTTATTGTTGTAAATTTCGTTTTCGTGGATGTTAATAACATTTTCCAATAAATCGCATTTTTTTTAAGTCCGAATTCCACCAACATCGTTTTCTCTCTGCAATGCCGTTACTGCACACAATAATGACTAACGGATTTAAGATACTTCAAAGACTAAGATATAAATTTTAGATTTAAGTTACTATAAGGGTTGATATATAAACTTTAGATTTAAGATAAGAGATAAGATAAAGTGTTAAGATATAAACTTTAGATTTAAGATAAGAGATAAGATAAAGTGTTAAGATATAAACTTTGGATTTAAGATAAGAGATAAGATAAAGTGTTAAGATATAAACTTTAGATTTAAGATACTGCAAGGGTTAAGATATAAACTTTAGATTTAAGATACTGTAAGTGTTAAGATATAAACTTTAGATTTAAGATACTGTAAGGGTTAAGATATAAATTTTAGATTTAAGATACTGTAAGTGTTAAGATATTAACTTTAGATTTAAGATAATGTAAGCGTTAAGATATAAACTTTAGATTTGAGATATACTGTAAGGGTTAAGATATAAACTAGATTTAAGATGAAAAATAAATATAAATTAAAATTTTTCTTCATTGCAATATTATTATAATAATCTATGTATGTTTTGATAAGTATTTAGAATGCGAAATTTAAAATTAATTAAATTTTTTATTTAAAATATTTGTACTTTAAAATTTTTCATTTGGGAGGAAAAGAAATATTTGGTCTCTTAGCTGGTTTCGAAGCGTGCGTTCGGCCCGCATGTACCTAGAATTGAAACCACTGCATGTGATGATTACAACGATGGAAAATAATCTGCAGTAATTTTGAAAAATAAATACCGTATATTTGCAAATATATCAAAGGGAACGATTTTGCTGCATAAATTCAACAAGTACAGGTACTCTATGTAAAAGAAAAATTTACAATTTACAAATTGGCTTTAAATTCAGGTTTATATCTATCTATCTGCAAGCAAAACAACGTAAACTTGCGTAATCTTTATTTCAAAATAAGCGTTTGAGGTACTGAAAATATTCAGAACTTCAAACGCTTATTTTGAGGTACTGAAGTACCTCAAACGCTTATCTTGTACTCAACAAGTCACTGAGCCTCTGAAGGAGTCTAAAGCTGCTATCGGCAAAGGAGAGAATAATTTTCGTTCAAATGTTAGAAAATTAAGATATGACGGATGGCCCGATTATTAAAAATTTTGTTTCAGAAGTAATGCTGTGGACGGAATTGAAGAAGGCGAATGATGACGGTGTTCACTCTGACCGGCAACGTCATATTAGATGCGAAGTCTTTTAGGAAAGTGTTGTGTAACTAATTTGTTTATTATTAATTTTAATCACTGGTTAATTTTGTTAGAACTGTCATGTAATTTATATATATATATATATCTGTAACTGTTTTGTTAACTTTGGTGTTGTTAAACCTTTAACTTAAATCTGATTTTGATTAAACGTATTTAATATTTGTTTGAAAAATCTTAATTTAGATCTGTTTGGTTTTATTGGTGCTTTGTTTGGGTAACCCTTAAGGTTATTAATTTTAATTTTAAATTTGAGTTTTCTTACACTGGTATGTGCTTAAAGTTAATTGTTTTGTTAATTTAAATTTCCGTTTAATTTTTACCCCTGTTTTCTGTCCAAATTTTAATCCTTACTTTTTGACTCAAGCGGTAATTTTCGACATTTGCGTAATTGAATTATAATTCAATACTTAGAATTTGTTTAAAACTACTTTTTTGACCATTTGTAATGAAAGAAACTTAATGTATTAGAGTTAAATATCAGTACTTACTATTTGTGTAAAACTATTTTTTCGACAATTGTAAAACTTTATGTAACAGAAAGATGTTTCTAAAATGTGTTAAGCTATTCTTTCTTAGCTTTAAACATTTTTCTTCAAGATGAATTTACTTGTTTCGATCTGTCTACCATATGTGTGGTTTTTAAATTCTGCATCCTTAGAAGAGGCTAACTTTTTGTATACTGGCATGCTTAACGTTTTTCTAGTGGGGAGGGGCGAATAAGGTGGGTGTTAGCTGTGAGTCCTGTGAATATGGACCTTCATGCGAGAATAGTGGAATTTTATTATTTCCGAAATTTCAACGGAACTGGGTGATTGACTTCCGCAAATAATCTTGGAATGCAGCAAATAAAAGATGGGCGAGTTGTGCCAAATTCTGCAGGCCTGACGGTCGAAGCGTTTTCCCGAAGAATTACAGAAGAGATGGTAGAAGGTTTGGGTCTTGGCAACCGCTTCCCTAGCCAAGTTTAGAGAACAGTCGCCTTGTTAAGAATAACGCCAGTCCGGGAATTTCGGGAGAGAGAGCGTCATTTTTTTTAAACGTCAGATTTTGACTGAAGAAGGTACATCAAAGACTTAAAGATATGAAGGGCAGGAGAACTGACATGGAAGTCGTTACTACTTCTCCGATAGATCCAGTAGCTGTCCAGAGAAGACCTTCTTTCTAAACATATCTGGGTTCTAATTGTTTCTCTCCTTCATTTAGTTTTTAGATTTGTTTTTGGCTACTTGAAGCTGTACTAATGCTGCGGAAGGATGGAGGATTTGTGTTCCCGTCTGCCAACAAATTATCACCGCCTATTCGCCTTCTACCAGGTTAGCCTCCCGCTTAACTCAAAAATGTACATTCTTAGTTGAAAACTCTCTATAGTTAACTAATGCAAAATTGACGTAATTAATTATGCTAACTAGCCACAATTAATGTTAAGTAATTGTGATCTTAATATTTACTGGTGACAATCGGAATTAAGGTTTATTATCATCTGCCACTTCTGTTCCTTAGAAATTTGATAAATTGGATAGGTGTTGAAATTATAATTGGAATGAATTCTCTTTCACTGTGCTCCAGTGTCAACCGGGCCTTTGTATTTATGTTTCACTAAAATTGATTGAGTGTTTTATCTTTTACAGCCGGTGCATTTCCATGTATTAAAATGGAAATATAATGGACCTTTGTGGTGGGCCCCATTGGTGGTGTACCAAATTTTAAAGAATTAAAGGTACTTCAATATTATTTTTGTTATGAAAAAAGTATAAACTTGCAACCTGTGAAAGATGAGCACATCAGTGTAGTCTTATCTGAAAACACAATTATGCTTTACATTTATTGATTGTTACTGTGGCACCAGTAGCTTTCATAAGCAACATTATTATACAACAAAAGTACAAATGCGATAGTCTTGAAATATATCCAAGAAATTAAGGCATTTTATTAAAAGTATTTAAATCCGGATATAAAGTACCAAGGGCAGTTGGGTATTAAAATCAAGAAAATACCTCTTTCTCATGGCAATTTTGTGAAATGTGAGCTTTCTTAACAAAAACCTGTGCGGGTTAGAAGGAGGGCAGGCGACGTTGTTCATTCGGATTTGCCTGTAATAGACAGACTTCTAAGAATTGCTGTGAAATTCTGCTAGAATACTGAAATTGAAAACGGATTTAATTCCTATTAAGGTTAAATGTAATAAAAATAATATTTTCAG